GGGTGACAAATTATAGGCATTGCAAATTCTCTAAGTGCTGTTAGTCTGAAAAAAAGTAGTTTTAGGAAAACTTGGATTTTTAAGCACATGAAATGTTATAGAAAAAAGACTGATAAATTTTTCCCAATTTCTTTGAAGAATGAACAAAAAATAAGATAGACTGGGACTGCAGAAGGGATTTAAGTTTGACACAAAGGATAATCTTTTTAGAGTACATTTGATAGATGAAAAAAGACCAAGGGAATCATCTAAGAATAAGATAGCTGTTAATCTGACTTAATGAAGTCTGTCTTTGAAGCGTGGAATGCATCACAATTTTATCTGATAACACATTACTGGAACAGAGCCCAGAGCTGATGCAAAGGGCTGGAAACAAAAGTTTAAATCTCTCTATAACCTCCTCTTCCCTCTCTACCCGAGCTGAGTGAATGATTTGTTTTGAGCTTGAGTTGATTTATTTGAACTGTTCTTGGTAATGGGAAGAGGAAACGAAATGCTACAGTCAGGTGAATCTGTAGGCACACGTAACTGAGGCTTCTTTGCATAAAATCAAATTGTCGAATACATTTTGTATTTAATTCTTCATTGGGTCTAAATACTAGATATATTAAGGACACAGCAAATATAGGTCTGTTGGGGTTGTAGAGCAAAACTATCTAACTTAAAAAGAAGTGGAAATACCCAACCCAATACTTCCTCCACTGGGATTTAAGCTATATTTTCCCAGTGCTAATAAGATTTTTTAAAAAAGGCATAAATATCCCAGCTAATTACTAGTTATTTTTAAGAAACCTTTTCAATGGTAGCTCTGGTAAAGAAAGAAAATTCAAACATTAATTCCCTATGATGAGACAATGAAATATAATAGGATAGGTGTTGAGGGCTGGGGGAGGGAGTGTCCTATGTTCTATCAAATAAATCTGTAGAATAAAAGTTTCAGAATCGTTGTTTTGCACAATGGCCTTTCCAGGTTTGACTGATAATTCTGAGTAAAATTATCCTCAAGTTGATATAACTGGCTGTCTGATGCATAAAAAGTAGAAGAATACAGAGATTTTATCTGGGATTCTTACGTACTGGAGATTCCAAGGTGAGGTGGATCGATTGTAATAATCCGAAGGCCTTCTGAGATTCGTATTCCGGTTAAGGATGTTTAGGTTGACCTTCACAGTCTGAGGGAAGTTCTTGTCCTCAGTATTTGAGCATCCTGGATTTTGTGGGATTGCTATTCCTGCCTTCCCTATGGCCACCAGACTCAGCAGCAGCAGCAGTGACTGGAACTAAATGGTAAAGGAAAGAAAGGTGAGAGATTGGATTAGTATGCAGTTTTTGTTAACAAGTTGTGATAATGATTGGATTGCTAATCATAGAGAACATACTGTGTACCAGGACAATCTATTATAAATTTTCAGATCAGTTAAATGAAAATGGTTCAGGCGAGCAAAATAATGTTAAGACCATGGATTTTTCTTTTTTTTAATTGTTTTACCAGTCTTGAACATTCTGCTTTTGATTTAGTAAAGACACATTATTAATTGGCTGGCAGTAATTTTTGTAAAAACGTCAAGCCATCTTCTTTTCAGTATGGGCGTCATTGTCAGGTCATTGAGATAAAATTGACCTTGATTTTCTAGAAAGAAATGTCGTCTCGCACCATTGTTCTCTGTCCGAGCATTCTGTGAAACCCTATGTGAAGTGGAATGTGCACTTAGGGAGAAAGGGCTATTGAAAATACATGTGGTGTCTGTATTTGTGCTAGAAATGCTATTTGTACCACTGGCAAACATCCAACCCCAAACTGGTTTCCGCTTATGTTTTCTTACGTATTTTTTTTACTGTTTTCTAAATTTACTTATATTGATTATGTAATCAAATTACATTTCAAAAAAAGATGTTTTAAAAATATAAAGACCGTTTACACTAAATCATAATTATATATACACACACATATATACACACATATATATGTATATATATCCGATGAGAATAAATGGGTTTGGTATACCAAGGCTATGGTATAATAATAGGTAATGGAAAGAAATGTCATTGCCACAACTTATTAAATTCTCAAGGATAGTGGCCTGTCTTATTTTGAACTAAAAGAATGCTGTGGGAGAATTATATTAAATCACTTGTACTTAGAAAAATAGATTTTCAATAAACATTCTTTCTTACTGCACAGCATTATATGACACTTCTTGTGCGGTTTAGCCCCAAAGTAGGTATCTTTCAGTTTTAATCTCGTCTTTCAAACTGATGTGTATCAGTTCTTGAAAATGCTATACAATGACAAGTATCTACCAAAGCTTTCATTTCCTATTCTACATGACTAGTATTCTTGGATCTCCACAGTTAGAATCCAGAATTTCATGCCTAGACTCCAGAAGTATTATCTGATCCCAAGTAACAAGAACGCTGAATATTAGTGCAGGACTCACCATGAATGAAGTTCCCACAGGAGCCATTGTAGTTTCCCTTGATCAACGGGGGATTGGTTGAGCTTGTTGCCTCCTGTGAGATGGACAAAGTGTAGTGCTATCTTCTCTCTTTTTATAGTGCTTTGCTCCTTCTGTGGTCACTTACGTTGGCGTATCGGAGTGGGTTCAGGGGTGACACCATTTTGGTTAAATGTTCCATTCCCAAATGAGGTCAGAGAAGAACCTCCCCTTTATGACGAGCGATATCTGTTTGATATCATGAAAGAAACTGGGAAGAGCAGAAATTCATGTTTCCAAAGACTATGTCCTCTCTTTATTTTTCAAGGAACTGTTACATGTCACAAGCTGAACAATGATGCTTTACTTATGAGCTGATAACATTTATTTATGGGCATATATGAAGCTGCCAAAAGAGCATGCTCTATTTTAATATCTCATGGGAAAATAAAAGTATGGCATAACATTCAAGTCTTCTGGTGTCATACACTGATTTCCCATTTGATAATTCCTTTTCTCACCATATTCCCTAACCAGATGTTGAGGAGACCATTTCAGAAACTACTTAAAATCTGACCATGTAAACAAACAAAAAAGGAATAAATAATTTAATGATGACAGGTTATATTATTTTATTGAATTAACACCTGCTTTGTTGAATGTCTACTTGACTAAGGAACTAATAACTAAGTCAAAGAGAATGAGATTTACTATTAAAGGCATGTCTAACAAAGCAACTTGTTAACTCATGCAATTCTTCAGGAGGAATGAGATGGAGATGAAGTAGTGAGGAGATGTAGATAGACAGTGACAAGAATTGAAAATGGAGATAGAGACTGAAGAAAAGTGATGGAAGTAGAGAAAAGGAGGGCAATTAAGAGCAAAGAATGATAAGAACGGGAAGGGAGGAGCGAGGGACCTTAAGAAGGAAAGAGAGAAGGAAATTGTTTTCTCGTTCCTTTTCTCTCCACTGTCTAAGTGAGATACACTTGATTTAAAGACTTTGAGAATAGCTTCTCCTCAGAAACACTGAGGACCAGCCCCAAGATGATAAAGATGAGGGGTTAGTGGCTATAGATGTGGCTGGCTACACGTCACCCTCTCTCTGCCCCTTCTTCCCAGTGAGGTGAGTGATGGGACCCAGAATCTCTCAGCTGGTATCTCATATGATACATGGTTACAAGGGAAGATGATTAGTAGTTCTAACTCAACAGTTGAGGTGTATAAGAAATTTGCCGAATCTTGGGCCCGTTTGTCCTGAAATCCATTCCTCCTTGCTCTGATCCACTCTGTCTCTCAGAGAACTGACCTTTAAGCTGCTTTCTCAGACTCCCTGGTCACCTGGCTTTTAGATGGGTTTGGCTAGAGTGAAATTGGAGGGCAGAAGAGTGGGACTGGGGAGAAGGAAGGGGAGGGGGAATAAGGGGTCTCCTCACTCTGTTTCCTGGAGCACTGCTTCTTACTTTGTCCCTCCATTTTTGGAATGGTAGTAGCCTCTTGTTGATGCCAGTCTCAATCACCATGGTAACCAGTTCCTTGCGTTAAATTTCCTCTGTTGCAAATGTATGAAGTGACTTCTGTTTTTCTGGGTAGATAGATCCTGACTGAGCAGTGAGGCCAGGAGCACTGAATCTCAGGGATGATGATGATCTTGTTACACAAATTCAGATAGAAGAGAAAGTAAAACGCATCTTCTCCTGATTATCCTAGTTCTGGTGTTGACATCGCCATCCATCTTTGAAGACATGGAGTCACTGTGAGTAACTTTAAGACATATGTCTATTTCCAGATATGTTTACATATCTCTTACCCCTCCTCTGCCTGTGATCAGGTAGCAATCTCAGAAGCTACTGTGTCTCTCGTATCTGGCATTAATTCCCACACCTACTGCCATTCCTCTGACTTAGACTCTCATCCACTTGGACTGTTTTAATAGCCACTTTTGCTCTTCCTAAGTTGCTGCCTTCCACCCATCTTTAACATTCCTGCAATAATTCTCAAAGCATGGCTCTGGTTGTGTCTTTTCTTGTCCTATTAGCAAAAGTACAGAACAAAATGCTAACTCATTAGCATTTGAATTAGTATTTAAGTTATTTGAGATCTGCAACCTTTCTAGCTTCACCTTCCCCCATGCTCCAGGACCTGGGCTCATGGGTCCTGATTGTCCTTCTAATGCCTACATGCCTTTCGTTAAGGTACTGTCTCTGAAATGCTCTTCCCTGTCCTCATTTTATCAAAATGCTACTTGTTCCTCCAGATCCTGTTCAAATGTATATTTTAGGTCTGGAAGTCTCTCCTGATTACTTTAGTTGAAGTGAACGGCTCCCGTAAAGCGTAGTTTATATCTACCTCTCAGGTAACTTTTGCTTCATTTTGTACTGTGTTTTATTAGGATGGAAAAAGTATGTTTAAGACATATGTCTATTTGCATTTTCAGATTTTACTGTAATCCTTCAAAGCCAATGTGTTATTCATCTCTGTAATTCTCGTGGTGCCTAATGTCGAGCTTAATACAACATGGGCCTTCACAAATTTCTTTTGTGTTGCTGATTTCTCTGTGATACACAGCTGTTCATGCATTTTTCCAGTGTATTGCATGTCATTTGTTTACATTTCCAATTTTTCTGCTAGACTGTGAGCTATCTGTAGACAGATAGCCATCTTATTAGTCTTTTGTATCACCTGACATAGTGTCTAGTAAATAAGTGCTCAATATTTTTACTGATTGACAGTATGAATAATGCTATTTGGGTAGTTCAGAATCTTGAATATTCTTTTAGGCCAGTTGCATTCCAATGGCTATATTGGGTTGTCTAATACTTTGACTCTCTATTCTGACCTTTTTGAAAACAGTGTGACAATGTTGTGGCCTATATAGGACCACCTGGAGTAGAGAAAAGTGTTCCTTGTTTGTTGCTTTTTGGCAAGGATGAGGAGGAGGAGAATGTGTTTGCTGCCAGTTCCTTTGGCTGATGGATAAGGGAGAAAAGCTGACACTAGCTGATCTCCCTATGCTTGCCTCGTGTGCCAATGAAATCTAACCTGTGTGCCATTCTTAAATATTAACCCTTGCTTTACAGTAAGAATTAGGAAACAAAGTGGGTTTTCACTAAAGTGTAAAAATGATCATTTTGAAGTGGTAGTTGAACCTGGCTGTGCCCAGCCTTGCATAGGACTAGTTTTCCAGATGCTTTCTTGAGCTGAAGCCTGTGCCTCCTGGAGGAACAGTTGGAAGCACTAAGAGAGTATGCAGAGTATATGTGTGTGGGTGCTCTTCTTCTGTATCTGTCTACAGAGGCAGCTGGCTCAGATTTGGATTTCAGTCTGTTGATTTGGAAGGAATGCTGGATTGAGAATTAGGGGGTCTAGAACACTGGATGAGAGGGCACTTTTGTTTTCATTGTGGCTCTGCCATTAACTACCCATGCCCTTGGGTACTTCATGTTTTTGAGGCTCAGTTTCCTTCTTAATCAAATAAGTTTTTGCATCAGGTAATCTTTGATTATCTTTGAATTTTTTAGAGAAAGAACAAATGGAAACGGTAAATTAAAGGTGATTATTTTGCTTAGTGGTTTTCCTCAGGTTTATCAATCTTGCTTTTTCAAAAAATTAGAAAACAGATATACACAAGTACTGGAGAACTAGAAATTGAAAGTTGGAAGCTGAATGAGAAGGAAAGAAGATGAGCAGTGGAGACTGGGAAATATTCCTGGGGGTCAAACATGCATTTCAAGGAATGATACTTGTAAAATGTCTGTGGTCTTCATGACTTAGGAAAATGATTTGCAAGTCTCCTTGACATGATTAGGTCACCAAAGAGTGTTCTTTTCTGCTTATAATAGAAAATTATACAAGAGATCAAAGAAAATTTTATTTATTTTTTATATCCAAGAGAGTATTGTGGAGTCTTTGTTTTGATATAGTGAAAAATTAAGACTGCCATTAAAAAATAAATAAATAAACTAATTTTAAAAAATTTGGCTTAGGTGGTAGGGTTACCATCATGATACTATTGTCTTTTTTATTTTTATTTTACAACTTAAAAAAAAAAAAAATGAATGATGATCTCTGTATAGGAGGAGGCACTCTGCCATCATTAGCGATTACTATGTATTATATTTAAAGACAATGGCTATTCAAAGAAGTAGGTGCCATTTTATTTAATGCTGTGCGTATTATCAGAAAGATTCTTTTTTAAAAAAATTTTGATCTAATATTGAGAGGGTAATGAATAGCACAGAATCCTCTTGGGTTTTAAATCTGGGGGCCGACATTTTGAAAATAGGCCAACATATAAGAAGCAATGTCAAATGCTTAAAGAGAAGGCATGATATTAAGGGAGGAGAATGTTGGCAATAGAGAGTCATCTGGAGAGCCTTGGGGGAACTGATAAAATTAGAATTTACCTGAGATCCAGATTTACATACAGTTTATCAAGATCTAGCTCATCCATTCCCAACTTCAAAATATTAACAGCGTTAGTACCAAAGGTTTAGCTCTGAGGTAAAAGCTGTTGTCTTATGAGAGCAAGGAGTTAATATATATAAAATTAACATGATTTATTCAATAGGAAATATCAATCTTAGTGTCAACCTGATAGTATCATTGTTCCTCTCCAGCATTGCACTGTTAGATATTCACTGTGGCTGTGTTTCTTTCTGAGGGGCATTCTGAACAATAAATTATTAAGTGAGAATACTCCAGGGTTATGTATACACAGGCTTCCTCTGGAATCTCTGGTGGAGAATTTTCCCTCCTTATATGACATGGTGAATTGAAGGAATGATTAACAATGAAGACATTTGAATAGAGTCATTGTTAATGGGCTCGTGAAGGCTGAGAGATAACGGCAGAATCATTTTCAACATTTGGATTCTGTTTTTTCACCATTAGTCATTCTAACTTTTGGTAGATTGTTCTTCACTGATACAGACCCTCTATGAATAGCTCTTTTGAGTAACTATTTTTCTTTCTTTTACTATTGGTTTTCGATGTTGCCCCTACCTGGTCCAGACTAGATAGACTATTTTTATCTGATAGGATCAGATAAAAACTTATTCTATGGCT